AAAGAGTGCGAGGGGCCGAGCGATTACTGGTACGCGAGTCACAATAAATCATGCGCCGTCTAAACATATTTTTCTGCTCGATTAACCGAGATAAATCTCGGTCGCGAGTCGCCGCCTTGCGTCCCGACAAGAAAGAGTCGATGGACGGGGAAGAAAAATCGATGGTAAGAGCAGAGGCCATGTAAATTTCGATGTCCCTTTCCTTCCCTTTGTGTGTTAACTCATACCGCCTCTGTTGCATAATCAATATATCCATCGGGCTTACAGAGCTCAACGTGCGATTATAAATAAGGAATTAATTATGCCGGTGTGCGAGTCGAACGTCACACATTGTCAAGCATCCGCTCGCGCTATGCGTTGATTTTCCAGTAAACTGCTCGAGTGGATAGGGGAATGGGACTGGGAAGGGGATTTGGGGGGGGAGGGCGTGTAAATAGAGCACTGTGCTTTCCCATTATTCACAAAACAAAACTCCAGACTATTCGTATCACAAATTGGTATTATTATTACAGTGAACGACTAAGTGGCGTAAGAGGGTGGGGTCGGGGTGAATTAAAAGCATTAAAATTCCGGCCGTTAATGCGATGCTTCGATGCTGTCACTCAATTCCATTTCAGACGTACAAAATGCGTTATGCCTGTATCTCGAACACTGACACGACGACTACATTTTCCGAAGTACGAGCCGACACGGAGACCATCGCGATTTCTAAATGCGATCATCGACATTCCCGAGGCAATTCGAATTTACGAGAAGGAAGAAGGAGAGAGATGGGAAGAGGAGGGACGTCGATCGGATAACTCGGAGAAAAGGTTGGCCAGACAGCGGTTCGCTTCCTCGTGAGTGACCGCTGGTTAAAGTAATTCGGCAACAAAGCGAGAAAGAAGCACTCGGAGCGTTACCGATTTCCAGTGAAAAACGAAATAAAGGCAAGAAGAAAGCCCACGCTAGAGGATCCAATTCCCCGTTGCGCGCGGCTCGCCTCGGCTGAGTAGCGGCGCAACCGAAGAGGCAGATGAAAAGAGAGACAGAGAAAGGGCGTCTGGTATTCTTACCTGCTTGTACTCGTAGTCGTCGCAGCTAGCGGAGCCTCTCGTCGAGGCGGTCGCTTGTTGCTGCGCCGCTGCCGCCGTCGCCTTCCAATTGCCGATACCGCCCCACTGCCGCTCCAGGGACTCGCAATGCTGCCAACACTGAAAGCAAAGGAGAAGGCGAGACGCCGAATTTAGCGGGGGCTCATTATGCCGTAGAACGCTTCTCTCTTAGGCCCTTTGTCCTACAATTTTTACAAAGAGCAAAGAGATTCGGAGGGAGAGGGTATGTAAGTGAATGTGTATTATACGTGTTGCTAAAAGGGAAGAAATGAGCACGTGGTGCAGGCAGCAGCGAATCGAATGTTTCTGATGCCAACGGGAAGGAGGAATACCACACGCGCGCACGTGCGTGTGTATAAAAGTTTGGGTGCAAAAAGATGCCGAGTAAGTGAGACACGAGAGGTTGTGGGGGGCGGAGGGGGGGGGGGAGAGAGAATGAATCGGAGGTACGAAGATCGAAAGGAAGAAATTTTAGAGAGCGAACGAAAGAAGCGCGAGAAGTGGAAGGAATAAAATGGACAGAGGGAGAGGGGGGAGTATCAGATGCGTAGAGAGTACGATGCTGAGAGAGACAGAAAGGGAGGAAGGAGGCACAGTATCTGTTGTGCCTGAAACAGGTTGGAGGCTAATTCGAATCCTTCCCGCCATCTTCTCTTCTCTTTGCGCGCACGCTGTTTCTCTTAGTTGTTATTTTCATATTTATTGAGGTATGATGAGAGAGAGAGAGAGAGAGAGAGAGAGAGAGAGAGAGAGAGAGAGAGAGAGAGAGAGAGAGAGAGAGAGAGAGGGGGGGGGGGGG